CATCTTCTTTGACATTACGTTACATAACAGTAAATCCGTCTTCAGTTTAATTCACATTTTGTAACTTTCTAATGTACGAAGGGCGACGTGAAGGGCACTATATAAATGAAAGTTGTTGTTGCTGCTGTTATGAATTTCTGCTCTTTTCTTCAGCGCAATATAACCAGAAAAACACTGAAGTCAGATATGATTTGTACCAAACAATTGGACCTGACACCACAAGGTGCTTGAGGCTTCACTTCACTATGTTATTTGGCCCAGTTTTGCCGAGTCAGCAAAGCACCATAAAACCCTAGAAATCCATGACCGAAGGCCGTTCTATTGATGTCACTGCTTGCCCCCCCAACAAGCCAGTCCAACCTTATCCCAATCCTGGAAATGGAAACCAGGAAAGGTGGTAAAAAGCCACTGGAATCATTTAAGGAAGAGTTTGATGCTGCAATGGGAAGCAGGTGGGCTAACTCTTGTGTTTTTGCAACGATGAAATCAAAAGGGTCTGCAAAATAATGATAATTAACAATAACAATCCTTCCATTTGATACAGTGCCTTATCACGTCTTCGAGACGTCTCAAAGCGCTCCACAGGATATACTGTAAAATGTGGTAACTGTGTGTTTTGTGAGCCAAACGCTATGTACGTACTGCATAGCTAGTGAATTAAACCAGTTGTATCGGAAGACTTTTTTTTAATCCCACAACAGATGAATTAACAAAATCCATCTGCTGAGCCCGGCGCTGCTTCAAACACAAGTTCCAATGTTTGACTCAAAAAAAAGGCAGATGGTTTAAAACAGAGACGTCATCAATATTACAGCATCTTGAGATGAAAGACTCTTAAGCGGTGGGTTTTATTCCATGTCAGTGGCTTGTGAGTCCCAAAACCGAGAGGTTTACCCTATCTCCGTAACCAGACCTAAAAACTCGTAAACCTGGGCTGCCACTGAGCACATTTTTCATCTCATTCCCGGCTTCGGGGATTTCCAACTTGCTGGCCAGAATACTGAGGGGGGGTGGGGGTGGGAAGCTGAACCAGTCACAAAGCTATTCCACCAACTCTCGTAAAAAAAAACACTTTAATATTCCACAGCTATTGCGGACACAAGAGAAGGTCCTGGTGTCATTCAGATTCAGAATCAATTCAGGACCATCATTTAGGTTGGGTGTAATGAGAGGGTATCAGGTCTGTAACAGCCAGAGAGAGAGAGTGTGTGTGTGTGTTGCCTTTTTTGACAAGCAAATGAGCATCGCGACCCCAGTGAGGGTAAGGTTCTGTTTCTAATTTCTCCTCCTTGACTCCGAGCCCTGAGCAGCCAAAACACTGACATCCAGCACAGGCTGGGACCAGGAGCCAAGAGGGTTTACACTGGCACTCACTCCCTCCCTCTCTCTCTCTCTCTCTCTCTCACTCACTACCCCCCTCTCTCTCACTCCTCACTCTCTCTCTCACTCCCCCCCTCTCTCTCATTCCCCCTCTCTCTTTCTCTCTCCCAGGCAACTCACCGCCTGTTCGAGAGGCTTTTCATTTGTCATTATTTGTCTCTTTGGACCCGGTTTATCTGCATTTCACCTGATTAGAACAGGGTGTTGCTGAGAACCCATTAGTACCTGTGTTGATCAGTCAGTCAGGCAGTCAGGCAGGAAGGAAAGAAAGAAAGAAATAAGAGCCTTTTTGTCTTTGCCGAATTATCTGTAACTTTGATTGTTTTCTAACTGAATCTTTCAGCTCAGGAGAGCAGCAAACAAACCGAGGAGAAGCCGAGAGGCTCAAGCCCTTGTTTCTCCGCTTCCTCCTCTGTCAGCAGCTCTGTGTTTGCTGATCATTTAAAGCCTTTTCTTATAAACCTCCTGCATCTCCCACACACTGATCGCCTCACGCAGCTTAACCCCTTGTTCCTTGTGTTTTTTAAAGAAAAGACCCCAATTTCTCACGCCCGTCTCCTGCGTGTACATCAGCCTGGGAGAAGCGGCAGCGTCTATTATTTTAAACACATTAAACACATTTTCCATCTTTTGCTTTGTGGTTTGCTGTTTTAATTTGTATTTAAATTAAGTTAAGTTCCCTCGGACTTTTTCTTGTGTCTGTGTGTGTATGTGTGTGTGTAGGGAGAGGTGAGTGGGGGGATTTGCTGCTTCAAATTCCAGTTTTAAAAAACCTGATGTCCTGTTGAATGACATGTTTGTGCTTTAAAATGAGACTCATTAAATGGTGTGCAATGACCATGACGTTAGACTGGTCACTGAATTCTGTAAAGCCCCTCAATCGGTTCCCCTGCCCTCCACCCCCAAAAAAATTGTTGTTGCACATCACTGTTTTACTCACAAAATACACAGTCAATCCACTATACGGTCTATTCTGTGAAGCGCTTTGAGACGTCTCGACGACATGATAAAGCGCCATATCAAATGCAAGGATTACTATTATATTATTATACGTGCAACTTTGTGCTCTTACTTTATCTCTAGCTTTCTCTTACACAGCACAGATAGGCTTGCACAGTGCCCTGTAACAGGCTGGATTAATATAAAAATCTGTAGAAATTGGGTTTTTGTTTATTTAAAACCCAGTGAAATGATTGAATTATTTTCAGTAGCTTTTCTTTCTGAAATGTAAATGTTTATGTGATTTTTTTTCTACCCTCTGCGTACTCACATTTCAAACACAAACCTCTTTTAGCATAAGGAGTATCCACCGGTAAACAGTTCTTTGAATAATTCACAATGTATTTTCCTAACATCTGGGCGTAGATTACACTTTGGATTTCATTTCTTCTTCTTGTTAAGAAAAAAAGACCATTTATTACTTTCCCAATAAGCACTTGCACCCAACTATGAGTAATAAATAGTCCAGTCACTTCCACGGGCTCTTGGCACTAAAGGACCACATTAAACAATCATTATCATCATCAGTCGTTCTACAGGAAATTCAAACAATCAGTCACACAGTGTCTAAAATATAGGTCCGTTCACCTTTGCCTCAGAAACTCAGGATATCTCAGACATAGCTTCCTAATAAATTTAAATCTAACTATGAAGTTTTGTTTTCACACTGGAGGGGGGGGAAAAAAAATGTAATCAATAATTTCCCAACCCCCTATTTAACATTTGTGCTGTACAAGAAAAAAAATCTCAGTTCTTACTCGAAATTAAAATGTATCAGTCAGATATGGTGACGATTTTGCCGTAGCATTTCTGGTGGTTTAAACATGAGGCGTCTCTGTTCCAAAATCATAAGTAGTTTTAAATTCAAGTTTAACACTGATAATGTTTCTCGCTTTTGAAATAATAAGAGTTCATAAGGAGATAATAATCACTTCAAAAAATAATTAAATAATAATAATAAATTGGTCACTTCAATCCATAACTGTTTGTGAGACGCTGCTGTGTGCAATTGGCTGCGCGTTTTGCCCACAAAATATACAGTCAATTCACTTTACAGTATATTCTGTGAAGTGCTTTGAGACATCTAGAAGACGAGATAAGGCACTATATAAAATGCAAGGACTACTATTATTATTCATTTCGGCATAGAAGCTATTTAAATTTTGCAGACAGTTTAGTTAAGAATATAAATTGATTCCTTATTTAATATTAAAAAAACAAGGCTTTTCATAGATTTGGATATTGCTTGAGCGCATGAGTAAACCTTGCCTCCTGGATCATTATTATTGACAATCAAATAGAGTTTTTTCCCAATACATTCCTATCACTGAACAACCTGTGCGTGTGCTACAAAAACCTACGTTCATTCAATTTGAGCAACGAAACACGATCCCAATCCTAATTTGCAAAATTATTTTCACCCTGAAATTAAGAAAGATTTAATTGTAAAGTAAAGCCGGGGGCAACCTTAACACACAGGGCAGCAGACGCCTTGCAATTATTCATGTCTAAGAAGTGTTTCACATCTTCGTGATTGTTCAAGTGATCACTTTTTAAGTGGTCGGGTAGATTTTTTTTGCAGCATTTAAATGTTCTTGAAGAACATGCGCCGGCCATGGATAACTTATTAGGAGGCAATGAACTGAGTTATTTAGTTTATTCCAGCTTTGACAAAAGACCTGAAGAACATTAGTATTAATGCTATAGGAGTAACATAAGACATTTTACAGGAGCATATAGAAGCAACATAAGATCTTTTAACCTCACACACAGATGTCTGTTACACTCTAATTTCTAATCTTTTTACTCTGACCCTTTTTTGAAAAATTCCAATATTTACTTATATGCAGTAAGACACGCTACACTCCTTTAATGTCTAGTGCGCAATCCCTCACACCCTGCATGTATGCTCTCCTCGTACATAGCACATATCCTTGGACTTTATCTATACCCTTCTCTTTCCCAGCACATAAATGCTGACATAAATGCTCCTGCTTATATGTGGATTGTATCCTCCCAGAATTAATAATCTGCCGGTGTCACACCTTTGTTACGCTGCGCTTTCTTCTGTATTTTTTTTCTCAAACAAAAACCTCTTTGTGGATGATTTGCAACAGTAAAATAAGGTTACCAAAACCTACTAGCAGCTCACGGCCTTTCTCCAAATAGCATTTATTTTAATATAATTTGGTGCCTTTTGGAATAATTGGACAAATACAGAAGGCTCTTTGCTCTGTTTTCTAGATATTTAGATTTGCCAATTTGCCCCCTTTGTACTTTCCTTCCGTCATTAACTGTTCCATGAATAACAACTCAAAGGTTTTCTTATTTTTGTTCCTGAGGAGCCAAGTCGCTGGCTTCCCTTTTCATGAGCATGCACATTTTAAGTCCTCTGATTCCAAAAGTATTTCAAAACAATAGTACTTAATAAACCTTAAGAACAGTCACACGTCCGAGGAAACGCACACATTTTTCACAAAAGCTGCAGTAAAGCACCTCATCTTAAACATAAAAATCACCACAGCCATTTCACAAAGATTTTCTGAGGGTTAAAACCACTTCATTTCGGCCAATAAACAAGACACGGCTTGCGGCGAGAGATAGCGAGCCAGCTTACTCACCGCTGTCCAGACCAGTGCTTCTCTGTGTGGCTCCGATGCAGAAAGGCTAACCCTGCAGCTGTTGGTATTCTGCAGAACTGTCGACAGTCTGAGTGGAGCTTTGCTGTTCCACACAATTTAACAGCAGCAGGAACACACTCATACGATTCGAGCAACGCTTCTTGTGTTGATGGATCCTTTTGGGTTTCCCCTGACTTCTAATGGGCTTGGCAGCACCGTGCCTACTGGCCTATTCTCTTAATGAAGATGAAGGTCTATATTTCCATGACATCTCATTTATGCTGCAGGCTATCCAAAGTGCATTTAGAAGCTTCCCTGGTAGCGAAGTGTTCACACACTGACTGACTGACTGACTGACTGCTCCTGTTGTTAAATGTTACTCCAGTCTACAAGGAACAGTCCCAAACGAGACCAGCACAACTCTCTCTACCCAAGGGATCCAACCTGAATCTCAGCAAAGCTTGAAGTGACTAGGAACAGAAGGCACTGATAAATTCCACTGCAATCCCACCCCAACCCCCCCCCCCCTTCCTCTTGATCAATCCCCTGGTCAGACTTTGGATATAGCACAACAATTAGATATTATCTGTAGCCTTTAGACAAAGGCACAGGCGAGAGCCAAGAGGCAAAACCTCACCTTCTGTTTTCTTTGTCTAATCTGCGCCTCTGGGTCTGTCCCAAGTGTCATTAGGTTTTTAAGTTTTCATTTTCTCCAATCGAATGTCTTATTTTTTTCCGCACTCCGTTGAAATATTTTCTTTACAGCGACCTTTTCTTCCCCTTTCCACCCCCCCCCCCAACTCCACCACCCGCCACGACCCCCTCCCCACCCCCGTAGTCCTGTTTCTTAAGATCTGAATCTTATTTTACTGTCGCCTGACGGTCTGTGGGGTTTTTTCACTTCTGATTTCTCGGCTCTCTGCGCTTATCGGGAGCCAAACGCAGACGGTGAGACTAAGCAGGGTAAAGCGCAGTGAATTTTAAATCTGCAGCATAAACCCAGCTGAATTGTTTAGGGAAGAAACGTTGGTTATTATCAGCAAAGTGAGGAGAGGGCTGACTTTGAAAAGAGACATTTTACCAGCCAGCTAAAGCCTGTGATTTGCAAAAAGCAAACACACACCCACCACCGCATCCTGAAGCATTGCCAGTGATTTTATGTCAATAGATTTATTATTCTAGAAAACAGTTTATAATAATTACTTTACAATTACCAAGACGCCAAAAACTTGAGTTGGATGAATAGTAATAATAATAATAATAATCCTTGCATTTGATATAGCACCTTGTCACATTGTTGAGACATTTCAAAGTGCTTCACAGGATATACTATAAAGCCGAGTGACTATATTGTGCGTGATTGATAGAATGGAGTAGGTACATTGTTGTCAGTGTCTGAAAGAGGATGGTGTTTTGCTGCATAAATGTCACAATCTTAGTGTCCATTAGATCGTCCAACACAAAAATAACGTGAATGATTTTTGTTTTTTTAAAAAAACGTAATATTTTATATTTAATGCATTTTTTGGCACATGTATTAAAAGTCTTTTTTCTAAATTGGATCCACCATTGTTGCAAAGGAGTGCACTTGCTGCTATTTCATGATGTCTCCTGTCCACAGACATGTTCGTAACACTGATCAATTTGCCAATCTCCCCTTGATGATTTTGATTTTGCTGCGTGTTTGGGAAGGTGACAGTCCTGAAAAATGTTTTAAAGCTAATGAGCAAAAGATCTGACTAACAAAGCAGAAGCAGATTTAAAAATGAATGCTGTTCAGTGGAGCCTACTGCTTTTGCAGTATCTTTAACCTTTAGTGTCCCTCCGGTTGTTTAAAGCGGAGTGAAAAGAGTAGCCTCGAACATACAGAGCTGTGAGCTCGTCCACAGAGACGCTTCTGAGTTTTTAAACTAGGTTCACGACGGCCCAAGTCGCACACTTCAGGATAATTGCAAACTTCTTAAAAATCACCGGTCACATAAAGGGACAAAGTGCCTCCTACTTGCACATGAACGGCGATTCTTATTGATCACCTATCAATTGTTGAAGATTTTTTTCCCTCTCTTAAATAATCGGTGTGTGAGCTCCATTTCAATGCGACCTACCCTTTGTAAGCTGTAAACTAACAAACAACTGCACACCTATTGAACATTAAGTGGAGCATAATGTCCGAGCCCCGGCTCGAGCTACTGAGCTACAATGTTTAGTATCGGGAAGAGAAGACCATCGAGCCACGAGCCTTTGCAAATAACCGAAATGAAAGGCTTTGTGCAGTTTACTGATCAGGTGCTGCTCAGATGTGAAATCTCCCATCAGATAGTCCTGCTTGAGAGGTTTTGTTTGCTCTTAAGCAGTAATTTGGTAACAAGTAGATTTCCATTAGATTGTAATGAGGTTCTTCCACCAGTATGAATGAGTTTTTGCGTAGAGTAATATCTCTTTCAGCGTGTTACTGTTACCTCTCTAAACATGGCACATATTGTGAGCACACACAGTCACACACTTCACAGTAAATACTGTGAAGCGCTTTGAGATATCCTTCAGATATGAAAGGCGCTGTATCAAATGCAAGAATTATTATTATTAATACAACATGGAAAGCTCATCACTGCTCTGTGGCGGAGGGGAAAGAAACAATGCAGAAGGAAGCCACAGGAAGCACTGAGGGCAGATAGAGCCACTTCATGGGGGCTTCAGTCACCCCTGCCAGCTACACAGACAGAGAGGGGAGGGCAAACAAAATAGCCACTTTAAACACTTTCACACATAAAGGGGTTGGGGTAATTGTGCCCATTGCTGGGCGCTGTGCTGGTGCAAGCTACAATAATAAGAACCCTCACACGTAATATGTCTGGAACAGGATACACTGTAAAGTGCAGTGACTGTATATTCTGTTGGTAAAAGGCGGCAGTGGGTTTGCACACAGCCATGTTCCCCCCCCACACAGCCTTGTCCCCCCCCAGACAGCCATGTCCCCACACACACAGCCACGTCCCCCCCACACACAGCCATGTCCCCCCCCACACAGCCATGTCCCCCCCCACACACAGCCATGTCCCCCCCCACACAGCCATGTCCCCCCCACACACAGCCATGTCCCCCCACACACAGCCACGTCCCCCCCACACACAGCCACGTCCCCCCCACACACAGCCATGTCCCCCCCCACACAGCCATGTCCCCCCCACACACAGCCATGTTCCCCCCCCACACACAGCCATGTCCCCCACACACACACAGCCATGTCCCCCACAGAGCTAATGAGCAATTTTATTTTATTCGGGGGACAGTTGGCCAAGACACTGTATTTTATGTGTGAATGCCTGTGATCCTCCAGCACATTGAGCTCCCAATCTCAGGGGGTGTGTGGGGAGAGGGAAGGGGGGGGCCAGAGGGGGATGGGGGAGCTAGGGTTGGGTGGTAGAGTTGGTGGGAGGGGGGCTCAACTCCTTTGGGCGTGCTGAGTACAGACCAAACCCCCAGGAGGAGAGGAGAGGAGAATCTCGGAGGTAGAGTCCCCCCGTACCTCTCAGTGTCTGGTTTCACAGCAGAACTGCAGAGGCCAGAGAGCAGGTCACCCACCCACACTCTGTGCTGCAGATAGTGTGCGGCGTTTGAGATCATTAGCCAGGGGATGAGGACCAAATCTACCAGCAAAGTATGTGTCTCTTACAGTGAACGTCCTCTGCCTGTGTTTATAGTCATCTTGTGTAACAGACGCTTGCCACACTGGCCGTTCCCAAATCTGAAGATCTTTCCTAGTTCAACACTAATTCACCTTCTAGCGAATAACATGAGGAGTCCTGTAGCTCAGTGGTTAGAGCACTCGCCTCGCAAGCGAGTGACCTGGATTTTATTCCCGGGCACGGCAAAATGTTGGGCAAGTTTCCTCACTCCACGCGCCTCTGTTTACTTAGCAATAAGTAGGAACTTGGTTGTTAGTCAATTGACGAGTCACTTTTCCGGGGATAATAATCCTTCAAAAAAAAACAATAATAATTTGGTCACTCAATCCACGACTGTTTGTGGGACGCTGCTGTGCGCAATTGGCTGCCATGTTTCGCCCACAAATATGCAATCAATTCACTTTACAGTATATTCTGTGAAGCGCTTTGAGACTTCTCAAAGACGGTGAAAAGCGCTATATCAAATGCAAGGATTACTATTATTATTATAATAGGAACTTGAGGATCTCTGTGTTCCTCTCTCAATAAGAATTGTGATTCACAATCGCACCATTGTTAGGAAAAGCAAATTACTGACTGTGATAATCAGTTCAATGTTACTTGTTACTCGAGCGAACTTTTGAATAAAACAAACATCAAATATATTGAACGAAGAGGAAGAGCACCGTGGTTTCGCCCCGTATTGACATGTTATTCCGCTAATTGCATTAGCGACTGACCAGATTTAAGTAATCTTGAAAAACAAGTCTTTTTAGTAAGTGGACTGTAATTGACAAAGCGAGTACAGACGAGAGACACGGCACACTTGAAAACCTTGTAGCAATTTGCTGCCCGTTATGAAACTCGATTCTTCCCAAACCCGGCAATGAAACTCCGAATGCTTTCAACACTCTGTGTTGCTGCTGGGTCAAGTTCAACCAGGCAACTCCACATCCACCGACCAGCCCAAGTATTTAATCCAACAACTGTCCATTAAACCTCTCTCCACTCACCTTGCTCGGAGTTCAAAAGTACAACTGAAAATGGGCTGTTGATCATCAGAAATAGCTCCATGATGAACGAACGCTCAGTATGATCCAAACCAGGCAGAGAACAGCCAGAAACCAGCTCAGACACAAACTGCACACACCTAGATTTTAACTTGACTCGCAGACAGGCTACGAGCACTGAAGCAGTTACCTCCCATATAAGGGAAATCAGGGTAAAATGATCAGCCCTTCAGGGCTTCTTCTCTGAACAACACAAGAGGAAATAATCCTCTGTTTTCAAATAAACCAAGCATTACCGAAAATGATATAGATAAGATTACAACTAAATCACACTGAATATTTAATATGCAATAACCCCATAAGTTTAATGTTAGTACCTCTAGATTAGGAAAACATTTTTTTAACGTCTCCTCTGTCTATTTACTACTGCTGTTGTTCTTCCGAGGTTAAGTTGATTTTTTTTCAAACTCAATTGGGGTTTTATTGTTGTTTTTGTTCTGATTAATATTGTTTCCAACAGAACACCGTGGAGCAGGTTAAAAACATCTGTTGGCATTTTAACATAAAGGTAGAGATGGATTAGATAGCTGGTGGGCAGCACAGAGAGCAAAGGGCAAAAACGTACATAGGGAAACAGAGGAGAGAAGATTGTTTTCAAAATCGTGGGTAAACTTTTGTCTGAGAAAAGCAACAGCACTTATTGCACACTAATCCTTCATTGTAAATTCGGTGGAAATGTGATTTCTAAACAAATTCTACCTGATCTCGGTCTTCTGGAAGTCCTA